TAATAAAGTTGAAGGGTAAAATTGTTTTTAAGAACATTGTAAGTGTAATGTAATGTGATTGCATTAGTTTTGGACTGCAATCACATTATATCTTTTGGCTGTAATGTGATTGCATTACAGTGGTTTGTTGTAAAATAAACACTATAATATAATTTAATTGAATATATTATGAAAAATATACTCTCACTTCTCTCGTACCAAACGTTACCTTAAATCAAATGTGCCTCCCACTCTCATTTTAAATATGCACTTATTTATAAATTTATTATCTAACTCCACCGGTAAGAAGATAAAAGAGAAAAAAAAAAGGAAAAGGGTAGACATATGGGTCACCAATGCCATCGATTGCATTTACTTTGAATCATAAATTCAACATGACCTTTGACCACAGTTCTTGCGATGTGCTGTCTCTTCACCCATTGGGGCCATGGCCAAGTTGAATAAGTTTTTTTTCCAATCTTTAATCAATTTCTCATGAAACATGCAACTTACTACTCCTACTGTTCATCAAGTACTAAATGAATGTTGGTGCAAAAGCCTGTTTGAAAGAAATAATTAAACTGTCTTGGGACTTCTAATTTCATCATTAGATGCTCTTCTACACAATCTTAATCATTTTGCTGTTGATAGGTGTAATACACTGCTGGTTAAAGATACAGAATGAGGCTAAGGCTATGATATTCTCCTACGGCTGAAATTCCCACTTTGTCAAAGTTTAAAATAAGCCGGCCTAAAGACAAATGAGAAATGGACTGATGAACAACATGATTATACCTACATTTATAGTATTTACTTCAATGGTCCCCTTAGGGGTTTTATAATTCAGATATCTTGAATCAATTAGAGCTTTTAATTAACATCAACTACAATGTTTTGGGGGCAATTAATTAGCACCCATGATGAGTATTTCTACATAAATATTGTAATACACTATGTATGTTAACCAAAGTTGCAGCCTGGCTACTGAAAATGAGGAGTCTACAATAATTTCAGCAGTACTTTTGCACTGATTCTGCTACAAAAGTCTTGTTTTTATATATAGAATCATTAAAAATCATGCTGGATAAGCTTTATACAGATTGAAATCATAATTCTTGGTGTCTTGTATATGAAATGAAGTATATCATGTTAATTATCATGATGTTAGATAATGAACAATTAATTAAGAATACTTAATAATGGTTGATTAGTGAGTAATTAACTATATATGAAAGAGCATGATTACTCAGCTTAAATTTGATCCCTTTGCTTTGATATATACTGTATGGTTACTGCTTTGCCATCACTTTCCAAATCTAGTGCTTAGCCA